TCCTGATGAGATCCATCTGCGGGTCCTGAAGGAGCTGGTGAATGAAGTTACTAAGCCGCTGACCATCATATTTGAGAAATCATGGCAGTCAGGTGAAGTTCCCGATGACAGGAAAAAGGGAAATATAACCCCCATTTTCAAGAAGGGGAAAATGGATGACAGGGGGAATTACAGACCAGTCAGTCTCACCTCTGTGCCTGGCAAAATCTTGGAGCAGGTTCTCCTGGAAGGCATGCTAAGGCACATGAAAAACAACAAGGTGCTTGGTGACAGCCAGCATGGCTTCCCTAGAGGGGAAATCCTGCCTGACCAATTTGGTGGCCTTCTATGATGGGGCTACGGAACTGATAGACAGGAGTAGAGCAGTTGATGTTATCTACCTGGACTTGTGCAAAGCGTTCGACACTGTCCCACACGACATCCTTGTCTCTAAATTGGAGAGACATCAATTTGATGGATGGACCACTCGGTGGATAAAGAACTGGCTGGATGGCTGCACACAAAGAGTTGTGGTCAATGGCTCAATGTCCAGCTGGAGACCAGTAACAAGTGGTGTCCCTCAGGGATCAGTCTCGTTCAATGTCTTTGTTGGTGACATGGACAGTGGGATTGAGTGCACCCTCAGTAAGTTTGCTGAGGACACCAAGCTGTGTGGTTTGTTTGGTACCCTGGAGGGAAGGAATGCCATCCAGAGGGACCTTGACACACTTGTGAGGTGGGCTGATGCCAACCTTATGAAGTTTAACCATGCCAAATGCAAGGTCCTACGCCTGGGTCGGAGCAATCCCAGGCACAGCTACAGGTTGGGCAGAGAAGAGATTCAGAGCATCCCTGCGGAGAAGGACTTGGGGGTGTTGGTTGATGAGAAAATGAACATGAGCAGGCAGTATGCACTCGCAGCCCAGAAAGGCGACCGTATCCTGGGCTGCATCAAAAGGAGTGTGACCAGCAGGTCAAAGGAGGTGATCCTGCCCCTCTGCTCTGCTCTTGTGAGACCTCACCTGGAGTATTGTGTGCAGTTCTGGTGTCCTCAACATAAAAAGGACATGGAACTGTTGGAACAAGTCCAGAGGAGGGCCACAAGGATGATCAGGGGCTGGAACTTCTCCCATACGAAAACAGGCTGAGAAAGTTGTGGCTGTTCAACCTGGAGAAGAGAAGGCTGCGTGGAGACCTCATAGCAGCCTTCCAGTATCTGAAGGGGGCCTACAAGGATGCTTGGGAGGGACTCTTCATCAGGGGTTGTAGTGACAGGACAAGGGGTAATGGGTTAAAACTTAAACAGGGGAAGTTTAGATTAGATATAAGGAAGAAGTTCTTTACTGTAAGGGTGGTGAGGCACTGGAATGGGTTGCCCAGGGAGGTTGTGAATGCCCCATCTCTGGTGGTGTTCAAGGTCAGGTTGGACAGAGTTTTGAGTGACATGGTTTAGTGTGAGGTGTTCCTGCCCATGGCAGGGAGGTTGGAACTCGATCATCTTAAGGTCCTTTCCAACCCTAACTATTCTGATTCTATGTTGAGTTTGGCAGAGCACTGGAACAGGCTGCCCAGAGGGAGGCATGGAGATGGAGACATTCAAAACCCTCCTGGACATGTTCCTGTGTAACTTTCTCTAGGTGGCCCTGCCTTGGCAGTGGTGTTGGGCTGGATGATCTCCAAAGGTCCCTTCCAACCTTAATGGTTCTGTGATTCTGAGAATTCCCATCCCATTGAATTATTAAAGTTTTCACTGCACTGAGTGTGGACACGCATTTTGCATTAAAATAATACATCTGGAAGCTTACTATAAGAAGAGAAAAAAGGTCATTATTACTTTTTAGTCATATGCTACGTATTTGCAAGCATTTCACTATTTTCCACAACCCTTGCTGCCCATATCCATTTCCATAAATTACAGCCCCCAAAATATCTACAGAAGGAATTTTTCCACTAGTCATGCACTCAGTGGCTTCCTTCCGTTCCCTCTTCGTGCCACAGCTCATGGGTGAGCTCCTGATGCCAGCCGTGAATGTGGTGCCAGCTGTACACCTGCTGTCCTTGACCTATCAGTCAGAGCCAAGCAGGCAGGCATGCACTGGTCCCAACTCAGCATGCCCTTTGCATACTCGCTTAATATTTTAAGCTCCAGTGGGTCGCACCCTATTAATCCACAGTAATACCTCAGATGACCTTTCTAACCAGCTGAATCTTTCACATTAGCAAGTGAGACCAAGCAAGAAAAGCATAGTAGTTCTGAACAACAACGTGCACACATCACTGGCTAACATCTGAAGTCTTAGTAATTAGATTTGTGTTGGTCAGAAATCTGGAAATGTCCCCATGTTTTCAAACCATATAAAATTTCTTAACGGTGTGAACTTCAGAGTGATTCCCTACCCTGGAAACCTTCTTGAGGACAGTGGAGGCTGTTGACTTTGCCTTAACAGATTTATGGGTTAATTAATTCGTATTGTGTTGTGAAAAGGCTTATTTGTAGTAGCATATTAAAATTTTGGTTTTGTATTTATCTAGAATGTTTCAATGTCTGTTTAATTTTTCATCTTTATGTTTAAATTTAATTTATATTTAATGACTCCATCCACCTTCTCTGCTCCCCCCCCCCCTCAAAAAAAAAAACAAAAATTTGAATATTTCATAGAATCATAGAATAGTTAGGATTGGAAAGGACCTTAACATCATCTAGTTCCAGCTCTCCTGACATGAACAGGGATGCCTCATCCTCAACCATGTTGCCCAAGGCTCTGTCCAACCTGTCCAGGGACAGAGCATTTATCACTTCTTTGGGCAGCCTGTTCCAGTTCCTCACCACCCTCACAGTATAGAACTTCTCCCTTATATCTAATCTAAAATTCCCCTGTTTAAATTTAAACCCATTACCCCTTGTTCTATCTCTACAATCCCTGATGAAGAGTCCCTCCCAAGCATCCTTGTAGGCCTCCTTCAGATACTGGAAGGCTGCTATGAGGTCTCCATACAGCTTTCTCTCCTCCAGGCTGAACAGCCCCAACTTTCTCAGCCTGTCTTCATATGGGAGGTGCCCCAGCCTCCTGATCATCCTTGTGGCCCTCCTCTGGACTTGTTCCAACAGTTCCATGTCCTTTTTATGTTAAGGACACCAGAACTGTACACAGCACTCCAAGTGAGTTCTCAGGAGTGCAGAGTAGAGGGGCAGGATCACCTCCTTTGACCTGCTGGTCATGCTTCTTTAATGCAGCCCAGGATACGGTTGCCTTTCTGGGCTGCGAGTGCACACTGAAGCCGGTTCATGTTAAGTTTCTCATCAACCAGCACCCCCAAGTCCTTCTCCGCAGGGCTGCTCTGATCCTTTTCTCCACCAAACCTGTAGCTGTGCCTGAGATTGCCTCGACCCAGGTATAGGACCTTGCACTTTGCATTGCAGAACTTCATGAGGCTGTCATTGGCCCACCTCTCAAGCATGTCAATGTCCCTCTGGATGGCATCCCTTCCCTCCAGCATATCAACTGAACCACACAGCTTGGTGTCATCAGCAAACTTCCTCAAGGTGCACTCAATCCCACTGTCCATGTTGATAACAAAGATGTTGAACAGGACTGGTTCCAACACTGATCCCTGAGGGACACCACTTGTCAGTGGTCCCCAACTGGACATTGAGCAGTTAACAACTCTCTAAGTGCTGCCATCCAGCCAGTTTTTTATCCACCAGGTGGTCCATCCATCAAATTGATGTCTTTCTAGTTTAGCAACAAGGATGTCATGTGTGACAGTGTCGAGTTTTCAGTTGTAAGCCAGTGGCAAGGAATTACAGTGACACCTCAGTGAACTGTTTTCTAATGATAAGTAAACTGGAGGCAGATGCTAAATATATCTTCATATATTCAAAGAGTAAAATCAATTCTACTTAATTGCAGATCATGTCTAATGGCCAGGTGCAATGCCTTTCAAGAAGGTAAAAGTTTTTTGTGTAAATGTTTGAGGTATTTTTAATTAGCTATTGAGAATAAAATTAGCATGAAATTTAATCATTTCAAACACCTGCAACAGCAGTTGCCTAACTAACTACATGCAGTTTGATAAACACTTTCATTGATATCCTAAATCAAGTTTAGGTAAACTCCACCCTGTACATAGTTCAAACTATGACACTGACTTGTTCCATTACCTTAATGCAAATGTGCCAGATCATTCTGTATTTTACCTTTTAGATATTACTTCTTAAAAACAAACAAACAAACAAACCCCACCAAAAAACCCATACAACCCCCCCCCGCAAAGAGCACAGTTACAAAGTTATGGTGAGGAACAGTAAAGCCCATGCAAAATGTGCAGTTTATGATTGTCGTATATGGGTCAAATAGCAACAAAGGATAGCAGAGATTAAGGATTAAAAATTGCCTAAAACATATGAATGATGATGTGAAAATAATCGCAATTGTAATGGTTGTATGTTTATACAGTAAAGTTTTATTCTTGTGCATTGGTAGAATAAAGACTTCACTTCTCTGGCTTTGAAGAGGTGGGAGAAGATGAGTAGGTTATCAGTTTGAATTAACGTTTTGTGATAAATATTTATAGCCCACAGAAAATAATTGTATGGCTCTTAAGGATTGAGCTAATTAGTTATAAATCGCATTCTAAATGTATTAACATACTTCTTTTACAGCAGCTTTGGCTTTCAATAAATTAGTATTAAAATACTTGGGTTATAATAAATGCAAAGGAAGAAATGTTTCTAAATGCAGTGAGAGAATGTGAGGTTTCCTTCCTCTCATTCTACTTACTGAGCCTACCCTCAAGGCTATTTCTTTGTAAACTTTGATATATGATGCGTCCTTTGTTTCAAGTTTCAAAATGTAAACTACAAAGTATAACTTCTCACTGATAGAAAACCATGGCTTAACACACCTATGTCAGTTAGGGCATGCATGCATTGAAAGTTTTGATGGGAGTTTTCAAATCTCAGGGTGGTTAGTCACATTTTTTTAATCAGATAATACTTATAATGAAACAGAAGACAAGCATTTGTAGGTTGCAAGTCTCAGATCTTGTTTATTTATAAAGCAATAAATATTAGAATCACAAATAAATTGCACGGGTGTGTAAACAAACTGTACAATGACTGAAGAGTTCAGGAAGGGTTGACAGAAGACTTCAAGAAGCATATCATCATCATCCTGAGTGGGAAGTAAATTGAGGGGAAAAGTGCTTAGAAGCACTTGCGGTGGACAATGGATGGACCAGCTTCATCATACTCCTGTTTACTGATCCACATTTGCTGGAAGGTGGACAGAGATGCAAGAATGGAGCCACCAATCCAGACAGAGTACTTGCGCTCAGGTGGGGCAATGATCTAGAATAAAGAAAAGCAACAAAATCCTCATTTAACTGTTACATTTCTGAACAACCACAGCACCAATGTCACAAAACAGTAGGTATTTCCTTAAGTAAACAAAAAACTTCTCTATAATATAGTTAATCTTCAGCATCTGGTAAAATAGATGTAATAGTCCTTAAGAAATTCTATAACCATATTTTCCTCTTTTCTAACACTTGCTTCTAACCAATATAATTATTCTGATTAAGTGGAATTTCTTCTCATTTTTCCACCAGCTGTTGATCTTACTCTTGAGTTGTTCCTATATACCAATTTAACAATGTGGATATTTTCTCCATCTTTATTCACATTTTATAGTACAGAGTCAGACTCCTTACCTTGATCTTCATAGTGCTAGGAGCAAGTGCAGTGATTTCTTTCTGCATGCGATCAGCAATACCAGGGTACATCGTCGTACCACCTGAGAGGACGTTGTTGGCATACAAGTCCTTACGAATATCAATATCACACTTCATGATACTGTTGTAGGTAGTTTCATGAATACCAGCAGATTCCATACCTTGAAGAAAAAGAATAAAGTAGGTCAGTAAATTATACAAGAGGTCTTCGTGAAAAGAAATCTTGGCATTTCTCCTCATCATTAATACGAACTTCTATGATCTCTTTGTTGCAAAATTATTTAGTGATCATTAAGTGTTATAGAAAAACAAACAGAATTACAGAACTAGCTTAGAAAATAAAATTATTTGTTAGAAAAGGAAAGAATCATAATGTATGTGGTAAAGTAAAGAGACTCAAAATATACAGTAAGGGAAGAAGTAGACACACAAGATAAACTCACTCATGTATGGCAAGGGGAGAAAGCTTTATAGAACAGAAAACATGAGGATCAGATTATGTCAGTCTCACAAAAAGCACTAGTTGAATACAGTAAAGACAGCAACAAAGACAATGAAAAGAGTTGAAGTAGAAGTAAAGAATACAACAGTAACTTCATTTTCAAAATACAGTCTATACTGTTCATAAATATCAAGGCAAGACGTAACCAAGACAGGGACCAAGATAGCAGTACTTGGCTGTAAGAAAAAAAGAAACCAGGAGCAAGTGTTCGTAGGTTGCATTCCAATTTCAGCAGGTGCTTCCTGAAAGGCCTGACACTAGATCCACAGTAAGACGTCAGCTGATGAACAACTGCAGTACTGCTCAGGACTTGGAGTACAAGCATTTGTAATATCCGTCAGCTGCATTCACAAAAAGCAAAGCTTACTATCTTGACCGTGACAATGTTCAATTACAGTGTGTATAAATATACGTGCACCTTCATTACATTTTAGTCTCCTTCCAGACACTTTACTCCTTCATGGAGTCAGATACACTTTTAGGTGTAAGCCTTACAATTACAGCACTGAAAGCTATTCTTGCCATCAGTGACACAGAATCATAGAATGTCTCAAGTTAGAAGGGACCCATAAGGATCACTGATTTTGACTCCCTAATGATGATATTCTATCTGCTCATCTTATCACTAAAAAATTGTGACCCTCAACCCTGATCTAAACTTGCAACAAGAGCCCAGAGCTCAGCTGATTAGAAGTTGAGTTCACAGCAGCCACAGCTTAGAAGGTCCAGAGGATCTAAGCCATTATTTATTTATGTTTGATTTCGAGCCAAATTTAGACAAGCAGCAAGAGGAGCAGGACACCTTCTAGATCTTCTGATTCATTTATACCTCCTACAGAAAGGAGAATTTCCTGGGAACACTTACCAATAAAGGAAGGCTGGAATAAGGTTTCAGGGCAGCGGAAACGTTCGTTACCAATTGTGATCACTTGCCCATCAGGCAATTCATAGCTCTTTTCCAGAGAGGAGGAAGAGGCAGCAGTGGCCATTTCATTCTCAAAGTCCAGAGCAACATAGCACAACTTCTCCTTGATATCACGAACAATCTCACGTTCAGCTGCAGATAGATGGGAAATAAATCAAGGTTTGAATAAGCAAAATACTAGCAGAAGAAGATGGGCCAAGAGAGACATGAGGATTTTCACAGGAGGGTAAAGCTGAAGGACTGACCTGTTGTCACAAAGGAGTAGCCACGCTCTGTGAGGATCTTCATGAGGTAGTCAGTCAGATCCCTGCCAGCCAGATCCAGACGCATGATAGCATGAGGCAAAGCGTAACCTTCATAAATAGGTACATTGTGGGTGACGCCATCGCCAGAGTCAAGAACAATACCTGGGAGAGAAATGTCAGAGAGCAGTTGGAATCATCTAGAAAATGCTTAGAGCCCTCAGGCACAGTAAGCAGCAACAGACATCACAAAATACGGTATTTTTCAGGCATCTATCAGCGTCATTCTATTTTAGCCATAAAGATCTTTCACATTCCTTCCACCTTTGCTTGTATGGACATTCCTGTTTGGTATGAACTTTCCCTTAAAACAACTCTTCTGTACATATTGTAAGCTAATCCATAGGAGCAGTAACTACATCTGCAACAGTGATTGTCTTGATCTGATATGAGCATCTTTCAGGTCCAGTTGAAACTCTTAAACTGGCATAACACTTGTATAACTGCAGTACAATCACAGGACTCTCTCCTTGTTTGTGTCATGACAAGTGGAAGGAGAGTCAGTGGCCCTCCAAAAGCAATGCACACAGGTCCACATTGTCCATGAACTACTTTGTAGGGGCTTTTCTGTTATTGTTATCATCAATCACTAAAAACTAAAAATACCTAGTTCTCTGTAAATTTGAATGAGTTACAGTTTGGTTTCTTCCCACTTGAAGCGGGAAGGAAGGAGAGTTCCTGAAGTGAAATATTTAAATAGTAGTTATTTGTTTATTTTACCTGTTGTACGACCAGAGGCATACAGGGACAGAACAGCCTGGATCGCCACGTACATAGCAGGTACGTTGAAGGTCTCAAACATTATCTGGGTCATCTTTTCACGATTAGCTTTAGGGTTCAAGGGGGCCTCTGTGAGCAAGGTAGGGTGTTCCTCAGGGGCCACACGGAGTTCATTGTAGAAGGTGTGGTGCCAGATCTTTTCCATGTCATCCCAGTTGGTGATGATGCCATGTTCAATGGGGTATTTCAAAGTGAGGATACCTCTTTTGCTCTGAGCTTCATCACCCACATAGGAATCTTTTTGACCCATACCAACCATAACACCCTAAGAGAGGACAATACAGAAAAGCATTATCTGAGGGAGTCAACACCACAGAGCTCAAACTATTACATCATAGGCAACCATGCTATTTACAAGAAAGGCACAAGCAGTCCCACCACTAAAAGGTTGTTTAGGAAAAGAAATTAGCATTATTAAAATAATAAGTCAACAGAATTTGAAGTTTACTCATAAAATCCCCTTTCCTTTAACCAGCGGAAAGGCTTTTGCCCCCCCCTCCCCCTTTCTTTTAATTGACATCTTATTTTCAACTACTTCTTTCTGGTCCAAAAGTTTGACTGAAAACAAACTGCACAATATCAGGAGCAGGAAAAGACAGAGACATACAAAAAGACACTATGAACGAGAAGGTACAGAGGGAAATTAGGCTTCTAGTGAAGGAAGATACTCCATATTACTATGAAGCCTCAGCAACACTTTATTCATGATAGCAAAATACAAATCACAAACACGTGGAAAAGTGTCACTCGTACCACTGCACGAAATGAGAAGAAGGAAGGGCAGGACAGAAGAACGAAGGAGGGAAGCGGCTAGTGGAGGCAACTCCTGGAGAGAGGAGGAAGGCTCTGTCTTGCCGCGGTGCTGCCTCCGTATTTACCTGATGCCTGGGACGGCCGACGATGGATGGGAATACGGCCCTAGGGGCATCATCCCCAGCAAAGCCCGCCTTGACCAGCCCCGAGCCGTTGTCGCACACCAGTGCAGTGGTTTCCTCGTCGTCACACATCTTCGGAGGGAGGCACGGATCTGAAAAACAACGTGGTGGCGTGTCCAGACCCCCGCGGACAGCCCCTCCGCGCCCTCCCGCCCGCAACCCCAGGAGACACCAGCGGCGGCGGCGGACTGACGGCGGGAGCGGGGAACGCAGCTCGTCCAACCAGGATGCTCGATGGCTCAGCCACGATCCTGGGCAGGGCTTTAGACGGGATCCGTCCGCTGCTTCGAACTGCGCCCCAGCTTGCAAGACGCTCAGTAGGGCACCATTAGCGGTGCCATAGGGCAGCAGGTTTAAACGGGAGGGGAAACTTTTGAAACCACAGAGATCGGTACTGCCCGTAGCCCTTCACCGGCGGCGAGGCATCGTGCCCCGTCCGGCAGCGGCGGCTGGCGGGGGGCGGCCGGTGCCGCCGCAGAAGTCGAAGAGGTGCACGCCGCTAAGCCAGGAGGTGCACAGGCTGAATAGCTGCGGTAACTGCACCACCGACATCGGCTGCCCGCCGCTGTGTCCCGTCCCGTTGCATCCCATCCCGTCCCGTCCCGTCCCGTTGCATCCCATCCCATCCCATCCCATCCCATCCCGCCGCACGACTCACCAGACCAGCACCGGCGGCGGGGGGACTGCGGAGGAGAGCCTGGGTACCGGCACTGCGGAGGCGCCCCAATTTATACGGGCCGAGGGGCCGCGCCGGCCTGTCCGCCGAGGGACGGGGCAGCCACCTTCTCCTTATTTGGTCGGCTCCGCGCCACTGAGCGGCCGCGCAGCCATGAATGGAGCCCGGCCAGCCCGGGCGCACGGCCCATGTAAGGCAGGCGCGGGGCAGCGCGCCCCCGGCCCGCCGCATGTCCAAATAGGGAGACCCGCGCACCCCTCGGGGACAGCGCCGACGGGGCGGGGGGCGGCCGGGCTCGGCTTGGCTCCCGCGACCCGGGGTGTCAATGCCCGGAAACGTGGCGCATAACGGCGGAGCCGGTGTGTCCGGGCGAGGTCAGGGGGAGCCGCACGGTGCTGATGCTGCTGCTGCCCGGTGCCACCCGCCCCGGTGAGCGGTTTTCCACCGAAAATCAGCCGGTCGGGGCTGCTTTTCAGCTAGCGCCCCGTGGGGTTGCTTTGACACCAACAACTGAAGTTCTCCCATTGAGTGGAGGCAGCATCTGGGGCCCGTGCTGCCCCAGGACGGAGCAGCGCACGCTCAGGCTCTCTCAAACTTTGAGGGGCATGAGCAGCAAAAATCCTGCTTGTCTCTGGTTTTGGATGACAACTGTAGCACAAACCGGTGTCTGCTCATTTATGTCAATACGCACACACTTAAACTCCCTTTTTTTTTTTTTTAATGTATCAGTAATGCGCGGTGACATGTATGGGATGGAGGATGAGAGATAAGGAATAGCCTGGGCAAAAACCACCTATGATATTAACGTAATGTGGCAGTTGTTTTCCTGCTCAGTTGCTGAAACATCCACATTGATAATTCGTTCCAGCAGTGGAACATAGAAAATCCATGCATCTTCAGGATTTTTATTTATTTATTTATTTATTAAGTTAAAAATAGACTGAAGAGGCATCCCTTGTGTGGGCTTGGCCTGGTATGTGAATGCAGAGACTGTCCACTTGTGTCCCTGAGGGACTGTATTATAACATGTAGGGCAGTGTCCTTCAGGAGCTCAGCGTATAAACTGGCCAACGTCCATCTGTGTAAAGTATAGCAGAGGAAAAAACATTGAGGTTTGGGACAGAAGGGAAGGGTGGGATGTACAAGTCAAGAGGGGAACACTAGGTAAACTGGATCAACAGCTTAAGTTCCAGCTTATTAGATGGCAGCCATCACACACTTATATACATCTTCAACGAGGTGGAACAAAAGAGCTTGTGAATGCAATCCAGCCTCAGTTCGGAGGCTCTGGTGGGTGCTGGTGTAAGAGCGATCCTTGCACTGTGGTTTGGCTCTGACAAAGGCGGCCAGAAGTGGAAGTCGCCGGCTACTCATTTCTAAACTGTATCTAAAGGGGGCGTCAGAGACCCTTCGACTTTTAATTTCTTCTGAAATTGGAGATAGCGGAATCAGTTTCCTCCTTTCTAGAACAATTACTGGGTGGTTAGCTCCACCCCAGGCGCAGTTTATCTGGACGTTGTGCCCGATTATGAGCTCAACTCTGAAACAGATGTAGCAACAAATTTCTTGGCCATTGACAGCTTCTGCTTTTCTTTAAATGCCTTGAGGAGAAACAACCTGTTTCAGGTGAGAGACTATTTGTGTGTAAAGGTGTGTGTATGTATATTTCATACGTGTGTGTATATATAAAAATATGCACATATCTGTTATATATGCATGTATATATCTGTGTATATATACATATGTATGTATTACATTTTTTTCTTAGCTACCTAAGAAAAGAAGGTGAAATACAATGACCTCAAAAGGTCAAAGCAGGGAAAAGCAGTGCTTCAGTGCCTCTGCTTTGGACAAATTTTGGCTCTTTGTTTTCCTGGTATTGATGAATACGTTACCATATGCTGCTTTCAAAAAAAAAAAAAAACAAGTCAGTATCTCTTACTCCATGGTAAGTTGCCATACAAAACTAAAATCTGCTTCTTTTTTTCCGTAGAACATCTTTGCTCAGAAACCCTCTAATGTGAGGGATTGGCCAGCTTCTCCGGCACTAGAGATTGCTTTACAGTGTTATCTCAGCTGTTCCTCGGCTCAGAGGTGTTACAGTATTTACATAGAAGCCCGCTGCTGATAGCTGCATTGGATTCCTCCCCAGTCAGACTCTCCCTGTCACATCCTACATTCCCTTTGGCTAGAGAGGCAGACACTGCTGGAACTGAGACAAAGCCAGATCCTGCTGCAAAATCTACACCGAACAGTCTGTATTTTCTTGCTTACTTCGTAAAAAAAATACTGGCTTTTTCTACTCTTTCCTCAAATTTTAAATTTCCAGGACTCACTTATAGGATCCTGGTAGACATGAGAGTTTATCAATCCACACGCACCCCTGGTACATTACAGGGTCAAATGAAAAGGGCACCACACAATGTATCTAAGTCCCAAATTACATCTGTTTCCTTGTAGCAATTCAAAAAGTACCCAGCTAATGTTATTCTGTTGGCCAAATCATTCTGCTTTCTGCATTAAAACAATATTACAGCCTCAAATAAACCAAGCAAGCAAAGAAGCAAAACCCTACTGAAGTACATTATGCAATGTCATCTAGAGGGAAAATACTCCAGCATCTGACTGGTCAGTGTCCCTGATGTGTACGTCTCATGACTTAGCTATTGGAGTGACCCCGGAGACAATGGAAATGAAGGCAGTATGGAGTGTCAGCAGAGCAGAGAGATCTGCAGTGGACATAATCTGCGTGTGCCACAGAACAGCCTGAACACACAGGAGCATGTAGCCTCAGTGTGTACGCAATATTAATGGGGTAGTAAAATAATTTATGTATGTGTGGCACATGCCCACTGGTAAAAATGGACATGTTATTCAACCAACAAATTGCTGCTGTGACTGCAGCCAAAATTAGAACAGTTCTTGCCTCTGCATGGTTAAAATGTGAATTTAAAAAAGACACTGTGATCTTATGATGCCCAGAAATCCTCATAACTGCTTCTCAGCTGTAAATGAAAAACATTCAGCTTAAAAATAAAGCCTTGATTCTTCAAAACCCGTAAAGCATAGAACACTTGTTACCAGTGACTTTAGATTATTTACAGTACTTAACATTGCATTCAGAAATGAAAATGTGTAGGATCAGGTGGGCTATTTTTTTTCCTTATCCTTTCAGATTATTCTTTTATTATGTGTACATGTTCCAATAAAACCAACAAACTTCTCATAATGCACCAAACCATTTCATGTACAGTATACACTTACCTAGCAGGTCTTAAAGCAGACAGCTGCTCACTTAAAATCTTCTATTTCTAAGCCCAATGAATTATGACATATAAAATCTGTCCTAGCACAGAGCCAAATGTTACCTCTCTTAAGCCTCAGGCCAGCATAATCTTCAGAAGAAATTTTACTTTTTCAAGAATAAGAAGCAAATGCCACTCTGACAGGTTTTCTTTTGTCTCACAGCAGCTGTTTGGAGTTATAAGGGCTTTAGAAATATAAGCAGCATTGCAGCAAAGTCGTATTGATGGGCAGGAGTCTTGATGAGATTGGAATGCCAAACATACAGTGTATAATGAATATCACTGTCACAAACGAGTCACTGTCACAAAGGAGGCATACTTGGTTATCTATGTCTGTTGTAGTTGTGAATCTGTCTCTGTGTTCATGCAGACATACAAAGAGAAGTCAGAAAAGACAGATCTGCAGTCACAACCAACCTGAAGTTGTTCCCTGTGAAAAGCTCTACTACACTTTTCCAATTACATTTTGAGCCTCCCAAGTGAGAAATCCTTCTCCTGTGCTACTAGAGGACAGCTTCCCAATTTAATAAACACACTGTCAGGAAAACTTCTCCAGAGAATTTACCAGGTATTTCCCTTTCTTAATTATGTCTCATTCAGCCTAGTAGTAGCCCATGTTTCATACTTAATACATTCCCTGTCTTCTCAGCATTTAAACCCTTCACATAGCTGCAGTCTGTTATCATCTCTCTGTGTCTTTTACTCACTCATGTACTGCTGCACATCTATAATTAACCTAAAACATCTTAAGTGTGTGCTGAAATGGTGGAATCATGAGGTGGCCATTGGGAGTTAGAGGTGCAGCTGCAACATCTTGTTATGAAGCTGAATTAGGCACAAGCAACGTAAGTGGAGAAGGTGAGTGGCAGCAAAAAAAATTGCGCTTCTCAGTCTCCGAGTCTCCAGAACCATTATTTGCCACATGCCACTTACAGAGAAAGGCTGTGACTCTCACTCTGCAGCAGAAAGAGAGCTCAGAGAGTGCTGAGAGATCCTAAAAGCACTGCGCCTGCAAGGGAGGAATGCCTGGCTTCCAGAAGTGCTGTGTGTCTCTCGCAAGCCAGAGCATGGCAGGCACAGCAGGGTAGGACTCCAGCATTCCATACTGTGAAGATTACAGTCTGTTCTGAAATAAAAGGCAGCTAGGGGAAACTGCTACAATTTAAGGTTCCTCAGACTGTCTTATGCACTGAGGGACATGGAGTAGTCAAAGAGGGCAGAAATAAGTCCTGAGCACTTTGGCTGTTGCCAGCATGTGTTTCAGTTGCCAGTCCTGTGCAGTGAGAGATACCTCCTGTACATTAGAAAGCTTATTGACAGTATTTCAGTCTCATTTCTACTGTTTCTTTGGGGGTTCTTCCCAGTTACAAAATACATCAGACCTAAATATGAGAAAAGGTGGAACATGAAAAACATCTTTGTGTATGCTTGTTCATTATCACACAATCATCATTTGATACTTGATGAATCTCTGGCTGCTAAAACAGTATCAATGAATAACAATTCCAAAAGCATAATTCCTAGATGTACCAGAGACAGTATGACACTATCTTATCTTAGGTATAATTTAAAAAACAGTGCTTAAGGCTAAATTCTGACCAGTTAAATTAAATTTGTGATTATTTTCATTTAAATTATATTTCCTTCTTGCATGTGACTGTAAAAAGCCCAGATTTGCAGGAAGCATAATGAAATTACATGGGACTTCAGCATATATTTCATTAGTATATAAATTATCTAGATTAAGACCTAAATACTTAAAGATGACAAAGGAGAATAGTGAGAAAGAATGTAAGACACAAACTCGGAAATTTGCAGCCAAAGGCAGTTCCTCACC